ATCATGGAGGGCTCTTTGGCCTCGTAGCTGCCACTGATCTGATATGCAACTGGCTGAGAGTCTGTTTTTAAGCAGACATGATCGGCTTCCAGGGAGATGCACAATTCTAGGCCGGCGATTGCTGCCTCATACTCGGCTTCATTGTTCGAGGCCTTAAAAGAAAACTTTAGTGCATACTCAAAGGATTTGCCTTCGGGAGAAGTTATCACTACTCCTGCCCCTGAACCGTTTTCGGTGGAAGATCCATCCGTAAACACGGTCCAAACTTTCTTTTCACTGTCTAGCGCTTCTTGGTATGAGCATTCGGCCAGGAAATCCGCTAGAGCTTGAGCCTTAATGGAAGCCCTCGGACGGTAGCTGATGCTGAATTCGGTGAGCTCAAAAGCCCACTTGGCTAGCCTACCAGATTTTTCAACCTTGCCGAGAACTTTTTCCAACGGCTGATCAGTTAAGACCACTATCTGATGGCAATCAAAATAGGGCCTCAGCTTCCGAGCAGCTACTACTACTGCGAAAGCAACTTTCTCGAGTAGTGGATAGCGAGTCTCAGCATCCGTCAGTGTATGACTGACGAAGTAGATCGGTTGCTGACTTTTACTCTCTTCCTTCAGCAATACTGCGCTGATAGTGGCAGGGCTAACGGCCACATATAGGTATAAAGTTTCTCCTTCAGCTGGGCTAGCCAGCGTTGGGAGTTCAGCCAGATGCTCCCGAAGCTGTTTAAAGGCGTCTTTTTGCTCTTCCTCCCAAACGAGCTCTTTTGTTTTCGGGAGTTTCAGGGCTTTGAAGAAAGGTAACCCCTTATCCGAAGCTCTGGAAATGAACCTCGAGAGGGCTGCCATTCTTCCGGTGAGCCGCTGAACATCCCGCTTTGTTTTCGGCTAAGGAAGGTCGAGTGCCGCTTTGACTTTAGAGGGATTGGCATCAATCCCCCTTTTGCTGACCATGAACCCAAGGAATTTCCCTGACTTCACGCCGAAGACACACTTCTTCGGATTCAGCTTCATTTGATGCTTTCTCAAGGTGGCGAAAGTTTCAGCCAGGTCCTTTACATGGTCCTCTAGTTTTTTGCTTTTGACGATCGAATCGTCAACATAGACTTCCATGTTTCGGCCCTTTTGATCGGCGAAAACTTGATCCACCAGCCTTTGATAGGTTGCCCCCGCATTTTTCAATCCAAAGGGCATCATTTTGTAATTGTACACCCCAGCGTTCGTGACGAATGCTGTCTTTGCTCGATCGTCGGGGTGCATAAAGATCTGATGATACCCCGAGAATGCGTCCATGAAACTAAGCAAGGCATGGCCACTTGTCGAATCGACTAGCTGATCGATCCTCGGCAAGGGATAGAAATCCTTTGGACAAGCCTTATTTAGGTCCGTGAAGTCAACGCACATCCTCCAGGTACCATTGGGCTTCTGAACCATCACCACATTTGCCAGCCATTCTGGATATTGGCAAGGTTCGATGAATCCTGCCTCCAATAATTTTTTGACCTCGGCTGCGATGTCTCGGTTCTTATTGGCGGAGTAATTCCGCTTCTTTTGCTTAACTGGTCGACACGTCGGGTTAACATTAAGCTTATGGGAGATGAGGTCTGAACTTATCCCGGGCATATCAGCTGCCGAGAAAGCAAACACATCTCTGTTGTCCCGAAGGAGCTGAATAAGTTCACAACGGGTGTTCGGATCAAGGTCCATCCCGATTGTTACACATTTCTCACCGTCTCCTTCGGCCAACTCAACTGTTTCAGTCTGTTGGTCCATGTCCATTGCCGATGGACTGGACTCTTCAGAATCTGGCCTGCTGCCAATGTCAGCAGGTGTCCCAGTCTTTTTGTTCTTCGGCTGGCTCTCTGAGTCTTGCGGCTCAGCTGAAGAGCTAGCCTTTTCCCTTTCGGGCCCTTTTTCTCTGGGCACAGATCCTTGGGCCGAAGCACTTAGGCCTTTTGGCTTTTTTGTGCTTGGCTCTCTTTCTTTTTCTTTCTCCTCCTCATCCTTGTCGTCATCTGGGCGACTACTGGATGGCTTGAGGTAGTTGCACCTTCGGGCGTCCTTTTGGTTGCCCTGTATCCTTTCGGGGAAGCCGGCGTCTGAGACGTAAATCATCAGCTGATGATAAGTTGAGACGACCCCTTGGATCTCGTGAATTATGGGTCTCCCCAAAATCACGTTGTACACTGAAGGAGCGTCGATGACCAAAAATTCAATCATGACGTTCCGGGCTGTCTCATTGCAACCGATGGTGACAGGAAGTGTCACCTTCCCATCTGGATAAGTTGAAGCCCCATTGAACCCGGATACCGGGTAGGGTACCGGCGTAAGGTGCTTGGGCTTCAGCTTAATTTGATTGTAGGCCTTTCGGAACAGAATGTTTGCTCCACTGCCACCGTCAACAAGGACCTTACTGACGTCGTGGTTGGCCACCGTGGCGATGATCACCAACGGATCCTCGTGAGGGAACGTAATCCCCCGGCAGTCAGCGGCTGTGAACGTCATGTTCGGCACCGGCGACTGGGGAGATTGAATGTCAACGTTGTTCACCTGGTGAGTCAAAGCTCTAAGGTGGCGCTTGTGCTCCCTCCGAGAGTATATTCCTCCCGAGATAACATTGATCGGAGGGAATTTCCCCTCCGGCTTTTTACTGTTTTTCCGGGGGAAGTCGAGGTCCTGCCGAGGGTCCTTTGCTGACCTCTCGGATTCTTTTTTCTCGCGGTGATCCGCGATGTATTTTTTCAAGTATCCCTTCCGGACCATGTCCTCTATCTGGTCCTTCAGTTGGATACACTCCTCAGTGTTGTGTCCCGAAGACTCGTGGAACTCGCACCACTGATTTTTATTTTTTCGCTGATACCACTCTGGGAGTGGTCTCGGCTTTCGGTAACTCTGCTCCTCCTTCGTCACGCTGTAAATTTTGGCGCGTGGAAGAGAGAGCGGAGTGTAGGACTCGTATCTGCCTGTGTATAAGGCAGATCTTTCCTTCTTTGGGTCGATGGCCAAAGATTGCTCCGGGGCCTTTGACTTTCCCTTTGCCTTATGGCCTTGGCCTTCAGACAAGGGTATTTGTCTCTGTTTCCCTCCCCCGAATTGAGGTTGGGTTTTCGCTTTGTTCCATTCTTCGGCTCGGATGAACTTATCCGAAGCATTAAGAGCTTCCTCCAAGGTCTGCGGGGTATGCATGACCATGAAGTCTAGGAACTTTCCGGGCTGAAGGTCATTCTGCATTGCGAAAACGGCTAGCCCCTGGTCCAGCTGGGAGACGCTTGATGACTCGTTACTGAAACGGGTCAGGTAGTCTCGGAGGCTTTCGGTTTCCCCCTGTTGCAGACTCATGAGCTCTGCGGTAGTCTTCTCTCGGCGGTTTGCCGTGGAAAACTTGCTCCTGAACTTGGAGGACAGATCATCCCACCCTGTTATGGAGCCTTGCCTTACTCCCTTGGAGATCCACGCTTGCGCGACCCCCTTGAGAGTGGTTGGGAAATATTTGCACCAAGTCGCCTCGGATCTGGGGCAAAGATGCATATGAGTCTCATACGAGGCCACGTGATCCTTCGGATCCGTGGTCCCGTCATATGTGATGTGCGACGGTATTTTAACCGTGGGTACGCGCTCTTCCAGTATCCATTGCTCGAATGGTGAACTGGCGGGTAGCATAACGGCCTTGCCCTTGTTCCTGGCCGAAGGGACCGCGCTCCGCCCTCTTAGAGAGGTAGGAGTGGTTTTCGTCCCTGACTGGGAAGTCTGGGCCTCGGCTGTAGGGAACGAGAGGCGACTGTGCACGCTCGGTTCCTTGCCGCCGAGTCGGTCAAGGACACTTCTGCGAACAGTCTCAGGTTCTCGGTGAGTAGATTCTGGCCGAGAAGCTGAGCTGCTGCTCTTATGCGCTTCTGGTCTTGAGGATGAGGATCCTTTTAAAAATTGAGGGTTCTTTTTCCTCTGTTTTTCATTTTTCCAGGAATCCTCCTCCCACTCTTCCAGTTCCCGGAAGGAAGGAAGCTTCCCACCATCATGGTCTAACTTCCTCCGCTGATGCCGGGTATGCGGAGGAGTACGATCACGAGGTGGTGGCATATTTTGTGCCCTCATCGCCTCCATGAGTACTGCCAGCGCTCTTGCCACCTCTTCCGAGCTGGGCCCCGTCAAAGGGGTCCTCGGCCGAGTGTGGGAATGAGGGCGCGCAGCCGATGGTTGGCTTTGGGACACTGAATGTGTCCTATGATCGGACTCACCCCTGCTAGACCGAGAGTGACTCGGCCTATAATGAGAGTCATGAATTACGGGAGATAGGGAATCCTCCTTGTATGATCCTCCCCCCGAGCCGGCACCCTTGGGAGAGTTCCGGTCCGGCGAGGGTGATGGTGTAGGGGTTTTAGGCTTTTCGCCCGCTCCTTGACGGAGGCTTTTGCTCTTGCGGTTCTTAGCCATTGCTGCTAAGATAATTGCAAGATGATCTTGGTTAGGAATTTGGCTTAAAGATTTTTGAAAGTCTTCCCCACAGACGGCGCCAAATTGTTTCGGGTGAAAACAATGGGACCTTGCCGAAGGTCCGCTGAAACGGAGAAGGCTGGATTCGGTCCAAGTTATGTTGGGCCGAAGGTTTCCTGCACAGTAAACACACGTAAACTAGCCTCGGAGGTGTTGCCGAGGAAGGCCCCTCCGATGCTAAAGTCAGTACAATGTGTAAGAAGAGGACACTATGCAAGAGAGTTTGTTGCTTGAGGCTTTAATGGAATATATCAGAATATATGAATGAACATATGAATGAATATATGAATCATCTATGAATGTATCAATATTGATGGCTTTTATACCTCATCATACATGGAGAGGTTGGGCCTTAGCCCAATTGGCTTGCTTTGTGGGCTGACCTTTGACTTTAGCACAATTGGAGAGTTGAACCTTGACCTTGGGCTTTTAATTGGATCATTTAATGCCTAGGCCCAATTGGACTAAATTGGACCCAAACACCTCATACTATAAATCATAATGAATTAATGAGGGTTCATTACTTATTCGTACATTCATTATTTTTTATCCCACTAATTTTTACTCCTAGCAACTCCTTTTTTTTTTTTTGACATATGCTTAAACAAGAAGAAACTATACTAAGTAATAAAAAGACGACAAAGGAACTCGATGGCCATGTCTCCCATCCTGGCTTATAAAGAGCCGGATATAGTATAGAAACCACTCGATGAAAGACTGATCTCCATTAGCTTCTAAGTGGATACCAAGTATACCACCCCTCCACACATTCCGAGCTGTGGAGCAGAATCGAAAAATATGTTGCAAGTCTTCTTCAGAGTCACTACATAGGTCATAACAAGTGTTAGTCTGCAATCCTCTTCTTCCTAGGTTCCTTTTCGTGGCAATGTCATTGCAAAGCAACTTCCACATAAAAAGCTTCCATTTGGGCATGAACTCTAACAACCACAAAGTCTTAAGAAAATCAGAATAATGATGGCTATTATCCATCACCATAGACCTCTTGATGAACGCGTATCCTGATTTGACTGTGTATCGACCTGACTTGTGACCCAACCAGTACATTAAGTCATCTAACTCTTGTTCCCGTAATTCCATAGAAGCAATCAAAGCTGCATCCCTGTAAACGAAACAAGAATTTATCTTGGTTGTGATTCCAGACCTTCCGTAATTGTTGTATCAATAAAATCCATCGCCCTTAACACTCTAGCATCATGAAGAGGCACAGTAGCCCTAAACTCTGGCACACTACCCTCCACCCATCAGTCTCTACCTGCAATAATCTTATTTCCCCTTCCAACTTTCCAGCCGCCGCAACCTTTAAACAGAACACTTTCAGCTCTTGCTAGACTGCCCATGCCCCAGGAGTAGTTCTTGTTTGCATGAGTGACCTGTTTTCTAGTGTGAATTGGAGATTTAAACGTCGTACCACAAACCTTAGAGAGCAGTAGTTGAGGATTATGGTTAATCCTCCATACTTGCTTCATCAAAAGATCGAGCACGATTCAGACTTGACATACTACGAACACCAAGTCCTCCTGAGCCTTTCGGTAGCTGGATAGTATCCTTGTTGATCCAGTGCATGCCTCTACCATCCTAGCAAGTAGCAACTCTATCAAACAAAAAATTTTGTAGAGTGCACAAACAAGATCAATACATTCAATAAAGTGCTGGTTTGCCTGAATTTCTACTCAAATATTTTCCAGGCTAACTTCCAAGTTCCAAGCACCAAATTATACAAATTAAACCATCAAAGTTAGTAGTAAAATAAAGTTCAAAAAATCTTTGCTATCTAGCAACTACGGAGTACTTGTTTTTGTAATTCGATCTTTGTTGTTATCATACTTAATTTCAATCAGCTTAAGCTCTGTAATTTGACCGTGTCAAGGGAACAATTTCATCAATGGCACGAAATATGTAGACGTTAAAGACGAATAAGGGCCCTTTTTGAATCAGCTCAAAGACACACGTATCGTGCTCCTCCAAATTATTGTCAAACACAAATTTCTGCCAGTTTGGATTGAGGTAGTGAAGAACCTTATTACGAGACTTGTTCAATCTGTATCCAACAATCCAGCTTCGGTCTCCGACCTGCAGCTTCACGTCCTGAGGGCCATGGACCATATGCTCTATTGCCCATTTCTTTGGGATAGTCTGCTGACACATCCAAATATAGAAATTGGTAAAATACTAAATTACAGCATATCAAAAACGTTTGAATAATCTACAATATGACAAACAAAGAATATTTGTCTTCACTAAGGTTAGTAACACACCAACATACACATAAAACGTAGTGAAGTCCAATTCAACAATTTAGAATACTTTTTAACCTGTTTATCTAGTGGATAGATTACCAAACGGACAAATGTAGCATAGTCCTTCTAACATGGCCGAAGCCTTTCAACATTGGTAACTCGTTAATGAGTTTACGGGCATTAGCTTGTCTTAATAACTAAACCTCTAAACTTGTTGTACAAAACTGCAGTCACACACAAAGATGCAAAAGGGTAGATTTGTAGACCTTCTCCACACTAAGATATAGGTCATATAAACCGAACCAAGTAAATTGTGTGTTATTAATTTTTTTCGCTCTTTTTAATATAGGAAATCATCTAAGATTCCCGGCATAAGAAACAAGACAAGATCAGATGTTGCACATCTGAACTATGATAAGAATTTTTGAGGTTGGGGAACTAGTAAAACTAACATGTTAACTAAAAGTTTGAGTTGCAATTACTTTTAAACAGAGTTATAAAAACACTCTCAATTGCATAAACAAGAAATTGAATTAGAAAGAACTAAAGGGTATAGAAAGGAAAACAAACCAGCATAAATTTCCTGCAAACATGTGAAGCCAGCAAGGTTATCTGAAACATAGGCGGGCTCGGAATCTTGTTCTCCATCTTAATATAACGTTCAGCCTTCATAAATCTAATAGCCTTTTCCAAAGCTCTATTCTTTTCTTTTCTGTAGGAACCCTTCTATTAGATATGAAGCACAATCTGGTTTGGGAAGTTCTTTCTGCGTAGCAATATGCTGATAAATTCATAGGAGTTAGAAAAGAAAAAATTTCATATGTCACCTATTTTCTTTCAAAGATATAAATTTGGCCTACATTCAAGGTAGTAACATTTTCTGTTTCTTGTATGTAATAGATTGAGCCTTATAATACATTCTGCATCGATATCAACTTCAAAAGACGAATTATGCAGCAAATAATCAAGAACACACTGCCACAACTAACCTCAATGATATTACTTACCCATCAACGATGGCCTTATAATTTGTATCTCCAAAGTTGACATTAGTACATTACTCTAAGACAAATGAATTGTTAGTGAACAATTTCACTGAATTCGCTCTATATCAGCTATCAAATACAGTGGCGTAATCAGAAATTAGATCAACTAAACCCAACTCAAAGATCATTAGCCCAGAACATTTTAATCATTTTAAAAAATATTTATGTATTTGTACTATGAGGTCAAAATTATTCCGCCACCAACACTATCAAAACAAGCCAATCAACTCTTTTTTGTACCATCAGATCATGCATTTTGAGCATATATTGCAGAATTCTCCATCTGCTGTTACTATTTTATTTGAGATCATCTTAAAAATTGTTTATCATAAACGTCATTCATGAGCAACGACCCAACAGCCCAACAAAAACACATATACTGAGCCATATGCAGATATAACATGAAAATTCTAAAAACAACTTTAAAAGAATTTACATGCTGAGATACAAAATCCCCAGTTCAACATTTCCCCCTCAACAATCGCGCTACATATTATATGAAATGCAAGTAGCACATGTATATCATGACAATCTATGTGGCATTATCAAAACATGTATAAAAACAAACCTTCAAACTTTAACAGAACACATGCAATTTGAATCACATAGTACATAATTTCTTAAAGATGGTGCTACAAGACTTATCACCTGTAGTAGAGTAATATAATCTTGCCCTGGTTCTCCGCCTCCAAATACCAGGCTGGTACTCAGACTCAGTTTGATAATCTTCCTCACTTAAATCAATAGTAGTAGCACTGTCATACTCAGACTCGTGGTTATGTTCGTAATCATTATATGTTCTTTCATCGTCCTCATCAACCACAATGGGTTTTTGCGAACTGCCAACAGCAGCAGCAGCAGCAGGAGCAGGAGCGGGAACAGGAGTAAGAGCAGGAGCAGGTGCAGGAGTACTCGTACCCAAACCATTGTTGTCACCAGCTCTCTTGAAATGCAAAGAGCTTGAACAAGTAACATTCTGCGAGCTAGAAGAAGTATTACTCGCAAAGTGAGAGCCTTCCCTTTCACAACAATTCTCCCCGTCGAATACAGAGACTTTAAACGACGAATCTCCAGTATAACAAAACACCAGAATGTCATTGACTTCTATTCCATGATCACTTACAAACTTCTCCCATCCGTCTGAGAATTTCATCATATCACTAACAAACTTTACTCTCCATTTGTTTTCATTTGGTCCGATTAGAGTACACCATGTTGAGAGTTTTTCCTTGAAACATTCTATGAATTTTTGAGGATTTTTCTACCAAAACAAACAAAACTTTGTGATCAGTTGGGTAATTATCATTATATATTGAAATTAATTTGGAAATTTTGTGAAAAACTACCTATTATAATCCAGAATTTACGAGAAACTACCTATTAAAAAAAATGTTGTAATTGACTACCTAATTTTCGAAAAATGTTGTAATTTACTACCTTACGCCGGATTATGAAGGAGTTTGACCAAAGTTCTCCGGTGTTGACTTGGTCACGTGACACTTAATGACCCTTAACTTTCACCAAGTGTCACGTGACCAAGTCAACGCCGGATAATTTTGGTCAAACTCATTCATAAACCGGCGTAAAGGTAGTAAATTACAACATTTTTAAAAAATTAGTTAGTCAATTACAACATTTTTTTTAATAGGTAGTTTTTCACAAAATTTCCAATTAATTTTGACAAATATCATACTCATTTCCTCTATTGATATTATTTTGAAAGAATACCCAACAAAAATCTAACAAAAAAAAATTCCACTATTCCACTAATTATACTTTTCGTTATTTACGAATCACAAGTTATGTTCACTTGTGATAAGTTGAGTAATTTATGACTAGTTTAAATGTTTAATACTTCCTCGGTTCATTATCATACTCAGCTAGCTAATGTACAATTAATTTACAAGTATAACACTGTGTTTTTAATTAACTTTTACTTAGTTTGAAAGTACATCCCAAATTTAATAAAGAATATTAAAAAAAAAATTTAAAAAAAAAAAAAAAATAGGTAAAACTTGGCTAAAAATAATGAGTTAAATAAAATGGTAAATAGCAAGAAAATTACCAGCTGTTGATGGAAATTGTAGGCCATGATCACAAGAAATTGGTGATTTGTTGAAGAAAAGTCACTCCAATAATGGTAATTTTCCTTAATTTTACACCATTGGCATTTATTTGCCATTTTTGCTAAACCTAAGCTTTGAGAAAGAGAAACAAAAGGAGAGAGTTTTAGAACAATGAGTACAGTAAAAATTAAAAGAGTGCATATCTTTTGGCAGAAGATCATATAATATATGGTTGAATTCACTTTTTACAAGTACATGTTAATCAATGAGGATATTGGAGACGGGTAAAAGTTACCTACTTCTAACCTCAACTGCTAAGGCATTGAGAGTGTCCCATTTAATGAACGTAAAGATAACTTGCTTTATTGGCGTGTCATATTCACCAAATACATAAGGAAATATTTTTTTTTTTTTTTGGCAACACGCAAACAAGTAATATATGTGTACAGTACTAAGGTCCACGTTGCTTCCTTGCCTCCTGGGCTAATGCGTGAGCCTTTGAGACAACGGTCCGAGGGACCTTATTACAACAGAAATACATGAGATTGTCAATACCTTTATTGATATCCTGAGCTAACCTACGAACCTCCCATGGCGCATCATTAGGGTGTTGTAAGCATTTTCTTGCTTCCATGCTATCTGTGCAAACCTCAATGGATCTAGTCAATTCCTGTGCCTGGAGTAAACCCTCCTTGATTGCCAGCATTTCTGAATGTAGTGGTGAATGGGCCATCACGGCTTTCCCGCCTCTCACAATTTCTATGTGTTCCTTCATTATGACCCATCCTATGCCCGCCGAGCTTCTTCCCCCTTTGTTCATCTTCCATGCTCCATCAGTGGATATAGATAGTAGCGATCTTTCTTCACACACTCCCTTTGCCCAGAACAGAGCTAATTCTCCTACCTTTCTAGGTCGCATTTCCTCCTTGGCCTTGTGATCCTTCAACAAGGAAATACTTGTAGTATCATTTTTTTTTTGTTTTATATCAAGAATTTACTCGTATGATGTGTTAAGCTAGTCTACAACGTACTCCTTAAGTCACGTTGGGTTTGTTCTCTTTAGTTTATTTAATCAGTTCAATTCAGTTTAATTTCGAATTTTCTTCTCTCATAAAATATTAAATTCAGTTTAGTTTAGTTTAGCCCCAATCAATTCGGTTCAGTCAATTCCTAATTTCTTTCTCTCATAAAATATTTAATTCAATTCAGTAAATCATAACAGGCCCATACTCATAAATGAGAGTGTTATTTGGGTAATTAAATTCCAGTTCCCGTAAAAACAATTGAGAGGGGAATGGAACCTAACTACCAAGAATTGATCTTCGAATTCAAATTAGTCTATTTTGTAAAACAAGTGAAACACCTAAAACAATAAACACAAATACTAAATGCGGTATAAAATAACCGTGCAAGATTTAAAAAATAACACTTAAATATAACTAACAGGTAACCCTATGGGTTCTATTGACTATTCAAAAAAAAAAAAAAAAAAAGGTAACCCTATGGGTTATGGGTAGATCATGTGTTTTTTCGAGGCTAAGCTTGTTTTACTCCATAACAAAAGGCGTGGGAATGCTTAGGATCACGCTAATCTATCTATAATAAATTAATAATCCATTAACTAATACTAAAACATAACTTTGCTGACATCATACTTTTTCTAAATTGTACACATGTCACTTTGACATAAAATTTTTTTCCTGCCAATTTGCTTTGATGATGTCATTATTTTATATTTTTTTACTTTTGCTTTTTTTTTTATTATTATTATCTAATATAGTTTACCTTTCATATGTTTTATCCTTTGTCCTCATCAACTACTTTTTTTTTTAAGTATGTTAATATTTTAATGTTCAAAAGTGTTCATTGTGATTTTTTTTTTTTATTTTATAAATAATATGCTACAGTGTACACAAAAAATTAACGAAGTAGAAAATTTTCTTTCTCCCTATTATAAACAAATATCATAATATGTTTGTGCTAAAATCGTGCATCGCACAGGAACTAAACTAGTTATAACTAAAGTAGAAACCGCTGACATCCCCACTGCCTATGTGTCAGCTTTTGATTAAAATATTTCCCGCCAAAATTATAAGTGACATCATCCTTTTTTTTCTTTTTCTTTTCAAGATAAAGCTAAAGTTTGAAAAAGAAAAATTAATTACACATTTTTATAAAAAATGAATTTTTTTTTTACTAAATTGACTAACAACACTATTTTTTTATAGAGAAAAAAAAATAAGGGTCTGTTCTTTTCCGTTGAAATTCAGTTCAGTTCATGTTAGTTGAGACGATTAATACAAGGGGGGTGAATTGTATAGAGTTCCTAATGACTACTTTTGCGGATAAACAAACAATGCGTATAGGAACTTAATAAAACACACAGATTTTACGAGAAAACCTTCCAAGGCCTAACTGGAAGTAAAACCTCGACTCTACCTTAGGGATTTCAAACACAAACCATTTCACTATAATAGGGCAAACACCAAGTTACAACCTATTAGACACAGACCTTTATTTCACAAGTTCCTCACTGGATTTGCTACTTGATAGGACCCTATCCAGCCAATCTAAGCCCCACACTTAAATTCACTCGTACTACCAAAGTACTACAGGTACTGCCAAAGCACAACTACTCGTACCACCCCAGTACAAAACTCACGGCCTCACCTAGAAGCTTACACAAAACTGTATGTAACTCAAGCTATAAATTCACCCAAATAACCCAACCAATACAAATATAAGATACCTAGTATGATAGGTAAGCAATGCACGAAATCCGAAACTAATATAACAAGTTAGAAGCTTGGTAAACTTACTCAATTATAGCACTGTGATTTCTCCACGTATAAACTCACAAAAACCTAAACCATTTTTCTCTCTACTATTTATACAAGTAACACTCGTTATAGTAAGTAAGTTTTCTTAAAAGATAAATATGTTAAATTAACTTATCTTTTAAACGCGGTTTTAGCAAATCAAGTAGGATAAAATCTTTTCCGAAAATAAGATTAAAAAGATATTTATTAAGAAGACTTATCTTTTTAACAAACCGATTTTAAAGAAAATAATCTTTTTAGAAAATCTTTTCCTAAAATCTATGTTTTATTATTTTCCATATTTATTTTATTTGCGAAGCAAACTTATCACGTTTCTAATAAATTTCGTGCATTAACCTACTTAACATATTAACAATAATTTCTAAGATAAAACCTTAACTATTATTGTTGCGCCGCAATTTGATCAGGTAGATTACTTGAGCTCCAAGCATATCAAGTTCCACCAAAGAACTTAAAATGCTTGTCTTCAAGTTCCTGTTAGGGAACGTTCCTGTTAGTGAACTTAGTTCTTGTTAGAGAACTCTTCCTCTGATTTGTTTAACTTCTTCAATAAAGATCTTCTTCATGTCTTCTTAGTTTCAGATGGTTTTTCAATCACCAAGATCATACTTCACCTAGACTGATCACACACTAGAGAATCTTTATTAGTTGAGTTTGTTTTTAGTTCAAGTTCCTCATCATCAAAACCACTATGCTTCAACAATTTCCTCCTTTTTGATGATGACAAACTTAAGCAAACTCTAAAACAAGTTAAACAAAATAGAAGGTCGTATTTTTGATTTTTTTTTTATTATTGAAAAAGAAAATTAAACACTCACAGAAACAAAACAAATAAACTAAGAGAAAATAAAAAAAAATAAGCAAAAATAAACAAAACAGAATAAGCCAAAACAAACTAAACTAGTTCAGTATCATATCAAAGAAATTTCTGATACTTTATTAACTAGAACCCAGAACAACTTTAGCCTCCAAGTTTGCTTCTTATTTTCCCCCTTTTGGCATTATCAAAAAGTCCTTTTTTCAAGTTATTAAGCATCTAGCAACAGCCCCACAAGCAATTCATCGAGTGTGGGAAACTGAAGGCAACGCTGCTAAGCTACCTTAAGCAGGTTCTGCTTTAGTGCATAAGAGTTCAGTACATACATAAACACACAAGTATAAGCAAAGTTCCAACTAATCATTAAAAACCAAAAGATTCATCATCCAGTTGAACAATTTTAGAAAATTTACAATCAAAATTAATTGTTCAAACACTAAAACAGAAATTAAAGTTGTTCATGACTGAGACAGAGAAAATAGGCTAGGCTGAATATAGGTTTAAAAGGAATAGGATAGGCTAGGTT